GCTCTAACATCACACGCAGACGGCAACGCAATCAGGTGAACAGTTAATGGTTAATTCAGTGACTTTATGAGAAGGATTACAATTAAATCTCAGAAGACGCAGAAAGAAACTTCAAACATATTTCGTGTAAACTTAATTTACAATCACTCTCTGGGGCCAGAGTTGTATTTTATGTTGTCCACAAGGGGGAAGCCAGAGTCCTGCATGCAGGCGGGTACACACAGGTGAATCGCTAATATTTGATTTAATGGGTGGAATAATATTTATGTGTAGGGTTTGGTGCGGTAGCGGGCCTGACAGTGACAAGCACGGGCGGGTTGCGGGTCCAATAAACAAGACTATTTCGACTCGGTCAAGTACACGCTGAGCAATGTAGCCAATTGCGCTGCCACTGATTGACAGCTGTAGTGATTATATTAAAGGGAGCACTCTTTGCTTGCTTTCTGTATTTAATCTATTCAGGATTTGAATAAAAGTTTTAATAAATTAGTTCTTTCTACCTCATGTAGGAGATTTAATGCAGGTGCGGGTAAGAGTGAGGAGGAAGTAGGAGGGTGCTGAGCCTGTGGCTGTTCTGTACGCAAACATCAATGTCTTGAACTTGATACGAGCCGCAAACGGTAGCCAGTGCAGGGAGATAAAAAAAGGTGTGAAGTGGGCCCTCTTGGGCTCATGGAAGACCAGTCGTGCCACTGCATTCTGAAACATTTGTAGAGGTTTGATTGCACATGATGGAAGTCCAGCTAGAAGAGCATTGCAATAGTCTAGCCTAGAAATTACAAGGGCCTGGGCAAGAAGTTGTGCAGCATGCTCTGTTTGGAAGAACCGATCCTCCTGATGTTGTGCAATGCAAACCTACATGATCAAGCTGTCTTTACAATATGGTTCTTGAAGGTCAGCTGGTCACCAAAGAATAATTGTTGATGAACCTAGCAGGATGATAAAATCATGCTGTAGAGTCGGAGTGGCATGGAAAACGAGAAGCTCAGTCTTTGCCAGGTTGAGCTGCAGGTGATGTTCCTTCATCCATGCCGAGATGTTTGCCAGGCAGCCTGAGATCCATGCAGCTACTATTGGATTGTTTGGTTGAAATTAATGATAGAGCTGTGTGTCAACAACATAGCAATGGTAGGAGAAACCATATGCTTGTATAATGGGTCCCAGTGATGTAGTGTATATTGCAAAGAGGAGGGGTCCAAGAACTGATCCTCAAGGAAACCCTGTGGCCAGTTGATGTTCTTTGGATACCTCTCCTCCCCAGGAAACCCTGAAAGACGTACCTGTGAGATAAGATTCGAACCAATGGAGTGCAGATGCAGTGATGGTAGACAGGATTATCTGATGATTCACAGTGTCAAAAGTGGCAGATAGATCCAACCGAATAAGAACTGATGATTTGGAATCAGCTTTCGCAGCAAAGCAGTCTCAGTTGAATGGCCGCTGCTGAAACCTGATTGGTTAAAGTTCAGTTGGTCATTCTGTGAAAGAAATAATGTAACTGTGTCTATAAAGGTGTGAACCACATGTTCCATTCCATTAGAATAACAAAGGAACAGCATTCCTCAGGAGCGTCTTTTAGATTGCAGGATCTCCAACGGGAAGGTCCTAACAGTATTGTTTCTAGCCCTTTTGTCTTCAGCTATAAAATTATATCCCAAAGTCAGAACTTTGGGATAAGCTAGGATTCATACAAGGGTAAAGATTGTTTGAAGGAAGACATGCTAACATCGCTATTGAAGAACTGCTATACTACCATTTTCAATAAATTCTTCTCCCCACAAAAAGTTTGGTCAAGCCTACTTAATTTTTTGTATTAGAGAAATCTAGTACATTGGTGAGCCACCCAAAACTGCTCAGCAAAAATACAGTAAAGATGATGATACATGGAGCAACTTTTTAGGTTAGAAGGGGTAGTATGCACTGGCCTGTCTAGACAGATATTGTCTTGACAAGAAGTTAATGTGGATCATAATGTGTCAGTTGCTGTATTTACATCCAGAGATGAGAAATGGGTGGGTGAAGGAAGAGAGGATGACACTACAGAGGAAAGATGGAAGGGTGAAAGGGAGCATAAATTTTGCCTAAAAGTAACTGGTAGAGGAATTGGTGGCACACAGGTAGTAATATGTAGGTTAAATGTAATAAAGACATGAGCAGAGATGTCTAGAGGTTATACCAAACATTGTCTGTGATACAATTTCATGTGTAAATTAAGTCAAGCTGGTTACCTGATTTGTTAGTGCTTGTGGTGGTAAGCCATTTGAGATCAAATGAAGCTAGGAGTGGAAGTGGAAGTCTGCAGTGTAAGGCTTCTCCAGATGGATTTCGATGTCACCAAAGACTACAAGTGGACTGCCATCCACAGAGAATGAGGACAGCAGCCCATACAGCTCCTC